GTTTGAATTGAGTTTGTTAATGGACTGCGGCTCGTTTCGATCAAGTCGGCACCGTTTCGTGTATTTATTCACGCAACTCGATTGTCGGAGGCCGGAAGATTTGAATATTAGGATGAATACGAAGTCCTATAATAATTTAAAAAGATGGAATTCCGAAAGAGTTGTGATTTCGTTGAGATTAAAACGCTGCTAGGTATTTCACATGAAGATTGAAAAATTCAATGAGACTTTTCACGATCATATCCTGCCTAATTTAGTAGCTATAAACGCTGAAACAGAGGTGAAATGAAATTAATTAAGAATTTCAAGTCGTAAATTTAGAATTTCAGTCAATAAAATTGATCACCGATGATTGATTTTCTAATTATTAATTTACACTGCGGTATATAATATTGCGTGATGTTTCCTTAAACTTGTTAATTGTCATGTTCACTTAGTTAATTGATTGGAAATGCGATTCATACGCGGTGGGTCTTAAATCCCGGTGAATACTGTTCCACGTATACAAAGAAAGTAACAGCCGGTTGCAAATTTATGGCGCCTTTTATGATTACAAATTCACGCGAGGTTTATGCCTCTGCACTTATCTGCGTACGTGGCAGCCTGAATTGAAACGTTCGAATAGGGTTTCTCATTTTAGCAATAAATCTACATTTCAAAGATTTTTTTCTCTCTCTCGTAGAACGTTTTACGATGGAAATCGAAGCATTCCCTTAGCCGACTTTAACTGCTTTTACGTTGACATGCAAAACACCGCGTGGTGTTTTAATGATAAATCGCGAATTTAAAAATATACCGAATGGAACAACAGTTGCACGTTCCTTTATTTATTGATAAATGTCAATTATAGATATTTTTGCCATTGTGATTATCAACAACCAACGAATGTGTTGTACACACACAGGAATAGTAGATAATTGGTGGAACGTGATAAAAAAATAAAAATAGGTAACCTCGCTTCTATTTTTAATAAAAGTTAAGAAGCCACCTGCATGGCTTTAATAATAATTCAAGAAGGAGAATATTCGACACGGCGTGATTCGTTCGTTTCTACAAAATTTTTGTACGAACAAATTACTATCAGTTGGCTGACTTCGTTAGACGTGTAATTAGGATTTTATAATTAACGTACAATTTATATTGGCGATGTACAAATAAATAGTAATAGACGTATAATAACATAATACGTAACATAATTATACAATTGTCGCAATAAACCGTAATAATAATCACAATTGCACACGATTATATATCAATTATTATACATCGTCGACACACAAACGACACGAAAAGATATCACCGACTCGAAAGCTCGATCCCTCGAGGTATCTTCAAACGAAGAGAGAGAGAGAGAGAGAGAATCTTCCACTCTCTTCTCTTCTACCGTGCACATCCACGTGCAACATTACTCATATAATTTTTTATTGCCTTTCACGCCGCCCCCTGAATTCAGGAACACCGGTGGTAAGCATCGTTCCGAGCAGTGTACAAGCCAACGTTCGGCAATGTCGTACCGAAAAATCGTGGGCACGGTTGCGGCACCGACTAACGGACGGCCCGCGTGCATTTCAGGGAAAAAATGGCGAGGGTTGACCCCGCAGGACAGAAGGCCGTACGTGGAGGAAGCCGAGAGGCTGAGGGTCATACACATGCAGGAACACCCGAACTACAAGTACAGGCCGCGGCGCAGGAAACACGCGAAGAGGGCCCCGGGGGCGCCATCCTCCCCGCCGTCCGCGACCAACACCACGGCCAACAGGTCCAACCCCTCTGGTACCACGATTCATCATTCCATGTAAGTCGATATCTCCTCTCGATTGGCCGTGATTTTTCAACGTCCCGGTCGTCGAATTAACTAACCGAGCCTTGGTAGCGAATTCTTTGCACTGTGTGCTTGACGACAGATTTAAACCAAATTCAAAGGTGAAGAAAGTTCGTTGGAAAAAAGAATGACCGATATACAGAGTATGTGAACAATTTGGTTGAAAATGATGTTTGTTATATAAAAAGAATAAAAAGAAAGCGCGTTTTATTAAAACAAAAATATTCTTTTAAGTGCGACAATTATCTGTGCATCTTCTGTTTTATTTAACGAGAAAATTTCTTTCACGTTTCTTGGAAGAATTACAAAGTGACGGTCAATGTTTATTCAAGGTCCAAGATGGACAGTTATCAAGGCATTCCTCAGATCCCATGGGGCGGCCATTCCCCGATCTCATCCCTGTATCACCAACAGCAGCAGCAAGGTATCCAGGAGTTCAAATCGGAGAGCAATTCCTTGTACGGTAGTCCTTATACGCCTATTATTCACACACCGGACATATCTCCAGTTGCCAGTCCCGAGCCAGATGGTGAGACCTTGTACTCGCATTAATTACCGTACAGACAACCGTGAAACTTGAGAAATTATGCCTGTATAACTAAATTATTAGCGGATATTTATGCATTCGAACGGAAATATAAAACATTCGAAATGTCCGAAGTAAATTTTTAAACAGTGAAAATAAATCTTTACTTAGACTTTATGTATTTCGTAGCCGTGTCAACGTTTAAATTTTGAATTAGAGTTGGATAAATATATTATTGGTAAATCTTTTTCTTTTTTTCTTATTAATTTCCAAATTTAAAAATTTTAATATCGTTATGTACATTAGAGTTTTCTTTGTTGCATGAGGATTTCTTTACTAAGAAACTGCGGTAAAAATTTCTCAAAACATTTTATCAACGCTATTTTTAATTTAATGACAATGGCACTTGAAAGGAAATTCTACTATTGCATTGAAACTTTCTCGTCAGAAGCTTGTATTAGAAATGATAATAATTAGTGGAAAGTATATATAACGGTGGAATTAATTTCCAGGTGATGGAACGCATTTGCCATCCAATCAAAATCCAGATCCTGAACGAGATCTAATGGAGGGTTCGACGAAGCAACACGGTGAAATGAGCGACACGAAACGGTATACATTCATGAGTGCCGATAATCAACTGCACACGGGTCATGCTGGTGCTACTAGCATATCGTCGTGTCAGAATTCTGGTGCTTACACAGATACTCTGACTTACAAAAAATCAGTGAGTAATGGCGTGCATACAAATGACCTTGTTAGAGACTATGAGGACAAATGTAGACTTATTTAGTCGCGTTGTAATGAAGCTTGAAAAAAAAAAAAGAAAGTATCGTAGATTTTTATAGAATTTTTATAGAAACACCGTGTACTAAATTTGAAGTATAAAATTTAGAATTTATTTCTAGTAATTTGTCGATAAAAATTATTTCGATAAAAATTAATTTATCGCTCGTGGTATCATAGTGTCTAATGTTTAATAAATTAAAGTCATTTTACTTATTTTTATTATTCAATTATACGAATAGAATTAGGGATAGAAAATGTTGCTTGAAGATTGAAAATTGAAATTTTAATAAACAATTAATACTAAGCTGATTTAATTTTAATTTGAATTAAATAAAAAAATTATGCTAAACTGTATATAATTAATTAATTATTGCTTTGCGTTTGTTTCAAATATCCGAGCGATAAGAAATAATGGATTAGATCATTTTCTGCTTTTTCATGAACCAACAAACTTTGTCAATCATTTTGATCGATCAGTAAATATTCAAGCAATGAAATCAATCCCAGTATCTAAAAAAAAAAAAAAAAAAAAAAAAAAAAAAAAAAAAAAAAAAAAAA